AAAAAAAAAAAAAAAAAAAAAAAAAAAAGGCAGAAGCCGCAGAACGGCAAATGGGATGGGAAACTGAAAAAAAAAAAAGACTTCAGAAAAGGACACTAAAGTTGATTAAACATACATACAGGAAACTGGATCGAGTACAGGACGGGACTTCCAGCCACAGAGTTATGTGGCAAAAATGTGGCAAAAACTCAAAATTAGGAAGTCAGCAGATTTGCAAACCGGTCCTGAAAAAGACCAACGAAAAAAGAGTCCCGAAAGTGTGCGCTGCTTATACCAGAGACACAGCCACCACAATCCAGAAACTGCTGCACTGGTGAAGGCCCAAAAAAAAAAAAAAAAAAAACAGATTTTGCCGAATGGCCTGTTCAACACTGTGTCCGATAAAAAGCAAGCAGGAAATCCAGCCACCGGAATCCCAATAATATGCCTATTCGTCACAATTTGAGCTTACATAGTTCATTTTCCTTCCATAAAAGTTCATTTTCCTTCCATAAAGAGGCATTAAGGAGACATTCCGAAGGAGTCAGAAAACGAGGACGACTCAGCTCCATTGTGAAGGTGCCCAAGGGCATATACTTCTCACTGGATCTAGTCTCAATGACAGGTAGATTCATTGGAGAAAGCCCTACTCTCTGGTCTGCTTCTTCCACATAATTGCAAATTTTCTTCCCTGCCTTCTTACTCATTGACACCCTCCACTGTTCTTTTCTATCTTTCCTCCTCTGCCGCCTCCTTTTCCATCTCTTTTTTCTCAAGTTCTGCTTCATCTTCATTTCCTCAACGTGCACTTCTCCTACTAGCGCTACTTCAATTTTCCAGTGATTTTCTGATTTTCCTCACTTTGCTTAGGTCCCCTTTGCTCCTCCGCACCCTTCCATTCCTCCCCCGTTTCCTTCACGCCTTCACTCCTGTGTTTGCATGCAGAGGGAATGCAATGCAATACCTCGAGAGTCGTGACCAGTCCCCCATACTTATCTGTCATGCCGCCTCCTCTAGCCATGGTACTCACTCCTATTCTGCCTACTCCTCCACACCCTGCCATTCCTACCCCCTTACATTCATTCCTTCGCTCAGCAGAAGAGGAAACACAATGCAACACCTCAGCGCGATACCCCTTCCCTTCTTCTTAGCTGCCAGGCAGCCTCCTCAGTCCCACCGCTCCTGTTCTGCCTCCTTAACCGTCCTCCTACCGAAACATTACGGGCTGTTTTTGATGCCACACCGAACACAATGCAACACACCCTGTCATTCCTACCCTCTTACATTCATTCCTTCGCTCGGCAGCAGAGGAAACACAATGCCACACCAAACACAATGCAACACCTCAGCGCCACGCCCCTTCCCTTCTTCTTAGCTGCCAGGCAGCAGCCTCAGTCCCACCGCTCCAAACACAATGCAACACCTCAGCGCCACGCCCCTTCCCTTCTTCTTAGCTGCCAGGCAGCCTCCTCAGTCCCACCGCTCCTGTTCTGCCTCCTTTCCCGTCCTCCTACCGAAAGATTACGGGTTGTTTTTTATGCTCTGCAGTTGCAATTGGCTGCTAATTCACTACAGAACATGAACAAGGAACCAAGAAGGAGAGAGTACGAAAAGAAGAAAAAACTTCAAGAAACTTGAAAAAAGAACATAAAACTTGATAAAAGTTTGTGAACATGTTAGTTACCTGAAACTCAGATGGCTTCAGTTTGCCCTGCTTTGCCTTATCTGCAAGGGCCCTGACTTCTTCCGATATAGCAGCGACTCCCTTCTTGTCCGCATTCTACACCAAATGCAACCCAAAACAGAACGCTTGTTGGCTCAGTAAATATGGGACAAAGTGGCATTCATTTTGGCCTTCATTTTTGCCCTTGTGAAAGATGGACAAAAACAACAAGAGCATAGCACACATCCCAAAAGAGTGGCATTCTTTTTCGCTCTTCTTTTCGTTTTTCCTCCAAAGGCTCCACAAATCACCATCCTTGTCTGCCCAAGGACACGTGCCCCACCCTTGTTAGCATTTTCCAGCAAAGACGAGGACGGAATAGTCCCCCGTTGAGTAGAAACAGGACACATCAAACAATAAAAACACACACAATAGACAGAATGGTGCTACTTGTTGGTTTGCCACCCGCACATGAATAATGAGTATTAATGACATTCTTGCAACTCTCCTGAATGACAGAGCGGCAGTTCAAACCTTCACAGAAACAAAGACAACGACATCACATTCATTGACACATCTACTAATAAATAGTAATAAATTAATAATTTATTAGAGTTCTTCCAGTACGGGGTAAGGCTATGCCGCGACCCATCCCGACTGGATTCTGCCCATCTCCGCGATCGGCCGTTGGATAAGCAGCACCTTTTTCGGGGGCTACTGACAGTATCCCAGAAAACGTGACTGAAAAAGAGTTGTGAGATGATCCTAACCGTGATTCTAACCGCTAAAAAAAACACCAACGCGTTTTATGATGATGGGCCTCGCCAAGCCACTCACCAAATGGGAAAAAGACAACTAGGGCAAGGCATATCTCTCCACATTGTGTGCAGCGATATGTTCTCCTTTTATATGTTTGGTGACCGGTGCGGTGAGGCCCAATAACTGAAGGCCGCTTTCGTTCCTTTTGTTTTGGCCTTTACATTCCTTTTTCTTTGGAGCCTTTTGGTGGCGGAACAGTCCGAACATCTGTGTTCCTTTCACATCTGGTGAGTTGCGCCGCAAGGCCCCACATATATAGATTTTTTAGGTTTTCATTTCGTTAGTGTCATGTCGCAGTGGGGTCTAAGGGGGCCCAGATAATTGAGAAACGATTCAGGGCTGTATTCCATCACATCATGGGTTTGCCACCCGAGCTAGGCACATTGGCTTTTCGGACGGGCATTTGTTTTCTTGGGGCAGTGCCATCGAGATTTTCTGTGCTGGTCAGCGGTGCCTGGAAAGAAATAGGCAGGCAGAGAAAAGTCAAGCTGAGCGCAAACGGGCGTGAGGTAGTGCAGCCTCTCTCTCTCTCTCTCTCTCCCTCCTTCCCTCCCTCTCTAAGCGGTGTTGTGCATGAAAGGGCGGAGAGTTCAGTTCACTTTCAGCCAAAAACCAAATAGGTGGGTTCGCCTGGAGTTTGAGAAGTGCACACTCTCTCTCTCTTTCTCCTTCCCTCCCCACATCCCTCCTCCCCTCCTCCGTCCATCCACGCGAAGGGCTGCAACTCCATTTTCTGCGGGGGTGCCATGTTGCAAGAGGAACAGAATTTGTGCACGGCCGCTATCAGAAGGCGTGGAGTGGATCATGCCGTGAACGCGGAGAGGCAGGGGGAGAAGGAACACTAGGGGGAGGGGAAGTGCCTGGTCAGGAAGGTAGGAGAAGGTCGCCATCAAGAGGCTGGAGTAGCAGGAGAAGGAGCGGCAGAGAGAGGAAGAGACGACCGATGTAGTTGATCCGCAGGGGCCACATCAAATATTGGAAAGCAGGAGTTCGAAGACAATCCCAACGGACAAGAGAAAGACGCGGAGAAAGACTGGAAACGGGAGCAAGAGAAACAGCCGGGAGGGGAATGGAGGACACAAAGTTGAAGGATGGAATCGGACAGACAGACGGGAGGAAATGGAGAAGGACGAAAGGGAAAAAGGTGAGCGGGTAGGAACACAAGAGAGAGAGAGAGAGAGAGAGAGAGAGAGAGAGAGAGAGAGAGAGAGAGGATAATAGCAAGATAGCCGGAAGAGTGAGGGAGAAAGAGATGGCAAGGGGACAGGGCAGAGAGAGAGCGCAGCGGGATAGTAATCTTCAGGCCACCGCATCTCTTCATGGAGGCAATTCCATCATCACGCCCAAGTCCCGCCCTAGATGATTCTGAATGTTATAAGAAAAAAGGGGAAAAAATAGGGATGACAAAATGTCGAGTGTGTGATAATAGCAATCTCTGGTCCACGATCAGAAGCAGTGAAACTGAGATCTGAATTTGAATCGTTCCTACACGCTTTGAGCGCTTCCTCTCTATCACGTACATTTTCTTTCCTCTTCCTTTTTTTGTGGGCTGCTATGCTATCTCTTCATGTCTGGAGCTCCTCCGTCACTCTTCTGTTGGGCCCCACGCGAGGACCGCTGTTTCCTTTAGTACCATAGGGATATACTATCATATACATATATTACATATATATCAATTTATGTAGCGTGTCTCTGCACTACTTACCAAACGTGCAAAATGGTCACGTTTTTCTTCAGCTAGAGAGGGTGGAAAGATATACTCACCATTTTTGCTTCTCTTTCTCACATTGGCGAATCATGTGAGCGAGAGTTCAATCTTCTACTCCAAACCCGCTCTGCCACAATGCACAAGATCTACAATCTCTGCAATACGGCTGCATTGGCAGCTGTACCTCTGGGCGGGCATGTGAGATAGGTCTACCCAAACCCACCCACACTCTTGAAATGCATTGATGTCGAAAGCTGTGAAGGCGGCCGCTGTAAGAGAACGAAAACGAGGTAACAGAGACGAGTGCTGGCCAAAACACTAACCTTAACGAATGGCACCATAAGACCAGCATCCGTTTGCACTGCAACGGTGACGTCAATGTTATGATATCTGCAAATGAGTCCAAGGGCAATGGAGGGCAGAACGGTCATTGTCACAGAAAAGAGCTGAACACGATCCACAAACAAAATGCGCAAATCTGAAACGCAACTTGCATGGAAATGGTAAGGTTGCCTTCTGATACAGTGCTAAACACTTTCCAGTGTAGTATTAATATTACTATCAAATGCACAGAGCCCTGAACCCACACTCCTGCCAATTGCCAAAACACTAACTAACAGACACTGAATATGAATGCCGAGTAACAAGGTCTGATGTCTGAATGCGAATATAGCGTGGAAAGGGTCTGGTCGCTGCCCTGCACTGCAGAGAGCATAGCCATCCCCGCTAAAACAAACTTTGAACACACACACACACACACACACATACACACACACACACACACACACACACACACACACACACACACACACAAGCACACACCCACGCAAGCACACACACATATGCATGCCAAGCTGTCGACCTCTGGAGTAACAAGCAAGCCTCTCTTTTGTACTTGGCAACCAAACCACCAACCAACTCACAACACGTCAAAACAAAAGAGCAAACCTGTCCACCAAACAAACATTCGTGCCCATAATCTCACCAAACATTCTTTCTGGTAATCTTTGAGCAATAAAACCACCAGTCCATCTGAAGCAAAATTGACGCACCCAAAAATGCATTTTGCCGAGAGCTTTAAACTTTAAAGAGACCAGTACTGGCCGTCGGAAAAATCAGCATGGTACTGGTACTGGCCTGTGTATCATTAAAAAAAACAAAAGTATGTACCTCCCACAGACATTTTCGGCCCGAAGCTACTGTTCATCCATTGCTCTGCCGCCCCTGGGCAGTACTCTTACTCATATACGAAAATGCATGAACTTCGCATGGACTGGTGTTTAAGCCCTCTCCTTTTCTTCTTACATATTTTTATTATTTTCTAACGACACACATCGCGCAGTCAGACTGTGAACACCTTACACACATACAGTGGCAAAAATCACATAGAAGGATCACTTGACTGGCTGCTCGTATCCCATCATATCCGATCAAACATAATTAAATGATAATTTCAAAAAATAAATTAATAAACTTATCCATTAGAGAAAAACTTACTGGCGAATGACATCATCTTGCCAGGAGCTGTTCACTTCTGGAACTCTCCTCAGGGCCAGTGCTGTAGCCTGCCAAGCATCCAAGAAGCAGTCAAAGATTTCTGTCGACTTGTTATAACTTATAAGATCAAAGATGTCGATTCACTTATTCTGCAGTCAGAGACTTCAACATACTCTATTGTTCGTACTACTACTTAGACAACAGTACAATATTTCAATTTCAATTGGCTTAGGGCCTCAGTCCACTACTCTCCAAATGCACAAAAGACAAAAAATATGGTGATGCACCTTTTCCATGTTTAATTGGAAGATTCATTCTCATGTTGCACATTTGGTGAGGGGTGGAGCGAGGCCCTCAGTCTACATAGGAAAAACAGTCCAGAAAGTCAATTGAGTTATTCAGACATATTCTACATACAAAACAGTGAATTAAAATTCCAATTGACTTACTTTCTACAAAGACAAGCTCTGTGGGCCTACGCCACCAGGTGCTGCTAGGAGACACACCCGGCCCCGGGCTCGGTTCTGGGCAGCCCCATTGCAAAAAGTGCCAAAAACAAATAAATAAATAAAAATTCTGGGAAAAAATATGTTGTACAGGATTGCAATGCACACAACTTTTGGCTGAGGGTCACATCAGAATTCCTCACGGAACTGAAAGATAATAAAGAACATAACCGAATCACACCAAGGCACCCCCTTTTAAGCCCCTTTAGCCCCTTAAAAAAATAATCTATACCCCCCTTGCCCGCCCTTTAAAGCCAACACTCAAAAAAAGAAAAGAGCCCGGATTGGGGCTCGTCTCCGAGAGCCCAGAAAAAAACCACCGCAATTTTTTATTTTTTATTTTTTTTCTATTTTTTTTACCCATGCCCGGGTATCCAGGGCGTCAGACCCCCCCCGGGCATCACGCTCGGGTGACTGGCCAGTCATGAAAATATTCCTAGCCATAAAGCTCCAACCCGATATACATTGTGAAACATTCACTTGAACTAAACATGGAGCAGAGCTACGTTGCATTGCCTTGCGATACCCAAAAAAAGGCCACAGCGTAGATACCTTGATGACGAAATCGTTGATTGACAGCTTCTTCCCTCCAGTTTCTGCCTGCTTCGCATTCAGCTTTGCTCGAACCCTGCAGTCCATGAAAAAATCAAGCTCAACCGATCAGAACCCCAGAGAACAAACGCCCATTCCCACACCTGCCTCCTGTGAAACACTGCTAAGGAAAGACAAAAGTGGTGACAGAATTCATTCCTGCAAGCAGAGGCTAAGTTGTCTCCACAATGTCCAGATGGCTTTTGTGCTATACAGGATTCCCCAGGAATATATATATATCGTCAAATAGAACTGCCCGGTAAACCGTAGGCAGAGAGGGAGAAGAGGACAACAAATGAGGGGCTGTGACAAACTGTTTCGTCCGAGTTTCACCGACTCATCAGGAGGCTGCGTTCTACTGAAGTGGATGAAGGGAGATCTCTCTATCTCGTCAACGAACAAACTGACATACCGCGCCCACTGCTAGTTGAGCGAATACAAGCAGATCTACTCAGTGGGTATGCGCTATGAGTCATTTGCGCATGCGATCCGATCTAGCATGAGGGCTATTGTTCGGAGCACAGACAGAGAGCAGGTGCGAGAAAGTGCATGGGCATGACCCTACATTGAAGCGAGCGAGTTACCTCAAGAGACCAATCAGTGTCTCACAAGATTATGCCTATCATTGACTGCGCACGACTTGGGTAAAGCTCAAGACTAAACCGATATGCCGAAGCCCGAAAGGGATTCCTTTATCAATGCGCGCTAGTCAGGCCAGAATTCAGATAGGGGGCAGAACCTCGAGCTGAAACAGAGGCACACGAACCGAGTGAAGGCTCTGCATGCAAACACTGATTAGCTGCGTGCGAGGATTGAGAGGTCGTGCATGGCCACTAAGGAAGTGTGTGTGAACAAGCTGCATGCGGGCACAGCTGGATTGTGCGGAGTGCACACGGTATAGAGATGTTGCGCGCAAAGGGGCGAAGACGGCCTGATAACCCATCGAGCGGGTGAATAGCTGCACGCAAACCAATGGAAGATTGCACATGCGAGAGAAGAAGCTCATGCGGGTAGATGAACCCTGTAAGGAAGTTAGCTGTGTGCGGGATAAAAAAGCGGGCACAATTGGATAACTCTGTGAGAAGCTCGAGCTAGGGGAGAGAACAGCGTGGACCTCGAGCAAAGCTGTGCGTGGGCAAGGGGACTCTTGCAAAGCATGCGAGGATAGAGTAGCTGCGCACGAGCAGAGCAGAGTTGCGCGCAGGTAAAGAACGGCTACGGGTGAGCAAAGAGAGCCACGTAAGCACCCACGCGGGTGGGGTGAGACAGCTGTGTGTAGGCAGAAGGAAGCCGCACACGGATCGCAAGTGCTACAGTGGTGAAGAGAAGTGTGTGCGCGCCTGCACGCTGACTATGCATACGGGAGTCTAACGTGCGTGCGTGAAAGCAAGGGGAAGCCGTGCGCGTGTTCAAAAAAAACTGTGCGCAAGCACCGAGAGGCCGCCGTGTGTCCAAAGAGGATGCACGCGGACGTTCGCGAGCGATTGCAAACTGCACGTGAGCTTATGGTTGTTCGAGAGCATTTGTAAGCTGCGCACGAGCTTATGGCTGTGCGAGAGCGAAAGACGCTCCTCAAGGGAGAATGAATAGCATTGTGGCAGAGGCAGCGTGGATGTGAAGCGGGCGGATCAGTGCGCGAGTGAAGGGAAGCCACAAGCGCACGCGCGAATCGAATATTTGTGCGCAGGAGCCAGAAGAGACCAAGCTCGTGCTGAGGGTAGAAAACCTGAAGACAACCGACGATTACATGAAGCAACGCGCGAATGGAAAGATACAGATCAGATAAGCATACAAGCTGATCTGGAGCACGATCTGATCAGAGGTGCGGACCTGATCAAACGCGCAAACCATGGGAAAAAGGGAAGAGTTCATCACACAAGAATGCTTGAACTAAAAAAAGGAGCACGGTTTGATGGGCAACGTGTGCGGGAGTGCGAGAGCTAATCTAACGAACGACTGGTGATTGTCGTATAAATCCAATCAAGGGCAAGCTGATGAACCCGTATGCTGATAAGCGGGAGGGTGAGGAATTAAAGGATGAGCAAACAATTTTTTGAAGCGGTGAGAAAAGCCAAACCTTTGAGATTGAATAAGTAAAAGGGGTGGGTAAGTTGGGCCTGCTTAACCGCAAACACGGACCAAGGTCGAGGGACCTCGGATCGCAGACTGCTTCACCAGGTAGGGCAGCGTAACATTTCAGTCGACGGGACCCAAAGATTGTGCCAGGCCTGCAGGACCACACTGAGACTTGAACTGTTGCCATTGATACCGATTATTCGTGCCAGGACATTTGGGCCGAGACCAAGACAGGGTCAGAATTGATGCAAAAACTTCTGTGCTTGTTCAGCAGAACTGAATTATGGTCAGGCTCGTCTCGACCATTCATACGCCAGAATAGTGGGACCAAATTTGGGACTTGGACAGATCCCGAGAAAAAATGTCGAGGACGTTGAGCTGAGCAACGGAAAAGGGACATGGTTGAAATAATCTGGGGCCCGCATATCGTGACTTGCTGAAATTTATACGTTGGTCGTTTTCAAAATTCTTTTCTTAGTTCTGAGTTAATTTATTTCGCTAAATTTGTTATTCGACGGTAATGGTGAAGGTGGAACTTGAACTTTGGCCACAATGGGCCCGGGATTATGCATCCGACTTGGAGAGTTCCAGCACTGTTCCTTGGACCAGGCAGGCCCGCTACCGGCGGAATCCTATGGATCGCCACGTCAGTGTCAGACTTTCCTTTAGGACGGTTAGAACACAAACTGACCTTCCAGAGGAGCCGGAACCCAGGTCTCGTGGGATTTCCCCGTACGGACCTGAAATTATCATTATAGATTAAATATTTCGCTTTTTCCACTTGCTGAGCCCTTGAAGCTGTTTGCCGATGCTTGACGTGTGGTTTTGAAATACTTGCTCGTTCGTCTGCAGGTTGCAGGAGCCACGGAACAGCCCTCCCGTGGGTGACAGACACGGGGCGGTTTACAGGGGTGTTCAGGTGCAGGATCACTTCACCCCGGCGACACCATCACTCAACGACCTGTTACGTTGCACAGAAAGTGGCAGGTCTGGTGATGCCAGTGGCTGCTTCCTGATGTCAGAGGACTTTGCACCCGTGCCAGGAGCACCGGATACAGTGATGTCAGAACCTGCTACACTGATGTCAGTGTTCTTGCCCATAAATGATTACTGAAGCTCCCTACGAACAAAAATTAAAGAAAGGAAAAAGAAAAATGAAAGACACCACCATGAGCAAGCCATGCCCACCAACATTCTGACTAAATCTGACAAGTCAATCACGCCATACATTCGACAGTGGAATAATGCATTTCTTGAATCGACAACCTTTCCCACAAATCCAACATAACATAACCTACGGAACTCGGAATCCACACACTGACCATTCACCGCGGAAGACATGCAGCGCAATCTCGGAGTAAATATGCATAACATAGATGAAATATGCAAAACATTTTTTTCTTGTGTTTCTTCCCGTCCCTCTCTTTACCTTTGAAAAGCAGGCGAGGGAAGGGCAGCCTCTAACATTATTACATTCATCTGATCCCATCAGCTTAGACCTCATGCTCTGTTCATTAACGACCGATATATGTGTGCACCATTCCGCCATACGGACCAGGTGCGAAATTCCTTCCAGAGTTGCATGCACAGTGCAACGCTGATTTGCATTTGGCAAATTGACGGCCGCTTCATAACAGGATCCAATGGATACCATTGAAGTTCTTATAAGGGCATACTCGCAATTGGACTTCCTTAATGCATCAATCGACCGGAGTTACCACGGTATTCGTTCGGGGAAGTCTTGTGTAAGTACGGAGTTACCATGGTAATCTTTTGGAGAAGCCTTGTGCGAGTACAGAGTTACCATGGTAATCGTTCGAAAAAGTCTTGTGTGAGTGTGGAGTTACCATGGTAATCGTTTGAGAAATTCTTGTGCGAGTACGGAGTTACCTTGGGCATACTCGCAATCAATCAGAGTTGCCATGGTAATCATTCGGGAAAGTCTGGTGTGAGTACAGAGTACGGCCTAAGATGGGAGCGGTGAGAGGCTCTAAAGAGAGGTGACCATGGGGAGAGAGAAAGGAGGATTTGGGGGGGGTAGGGGGGCAGGGGGAAGTGGAAAGGATTTGGTTTACTGGTTCTGCTTACTCATTCAGTCTGTCAAGGCAGGCGTCGACACTAAGGTAGTAATGAGGGATGGTCTGCTTCGACATGAGCAACCGAGATGCTGTGATCTGAAGGAAACAAGCAACACAACCCAATAGGTCAAATCTCAGTGAGCACAAAACTGGCAAAATTTTCAAAAAAAAAAATGTTAGAAGGAAACGCAACAGAACAAAGCTTGCTAAAGCTACTATGTAACAAAATTAAAAATCTTAAAATTAACAATCAAAAAGGGCATTGAATCGTTGACATGATAGTATGATGATACGATTTGATTTAAAGCACTCTGGTCCTTCGGGACATCCGTTAAAATTGGAACAATACAGAGAAAGAAGATTAGCATGGCCCCTATGCAAGGATGACACGCATAAATCAATAAATGGTCGCAAGAAGGGGGAAAAAAACGAAACCACTTTGCCCAGACAGAAAATGAGCATCTTTCTGAGCACAGTCCCAAAGCCCATCACACAGTTTTTTTTTTTTTAACTTTTTCATGAATTTCATTCACAGTACACTCCCAATTGGGCTTACAACAACAGCCCCTCACAGAATTCCACAGACATAGGGCATCCCTCCACTACTCACCACATGCACAAAAGACAAAAAATATGGCGGTGCATCTTTCCATGTTGTAGCAGAATATTCATTCTCATTTTCCACATTTGGTGAGTAGTGGACCGAGGCCCATAGATGCCTAATCAAATGTACCCCTAGCACGACCCCCAGACAGAGTTGATATTCTTACCTTACGAATCTGAGTATGCGGAATGTCAGTGTACTCGACACCATCAACCACCGCAGCAACCCCTTTTTTGGCATCAACAGCTGCTACAGGTTTCTTGTCTCCCTTCGTAGCTGAAATAACAAAACACGTGTACGCGAGCACACACACACACACACACACACACACACACACACACACACACACAAGCATAAACATGTTGGGAAGGATGAAAAGAAACAGGACCAGCAACCGAAGAACCAGAAATGTGGAGATGAGTCAGCGGACCTCGCTCAGTTCGTAACGTACACGAGTTGCATTCAGGAGATTGTGGGTTCAATTCCCACTGGAATCAGGTATGTGTCTGAGTATGCTTGGTGCATACCATGTAGAGATAGCCCGCTGACCCGACAGGCTATCCTTCCGGACCAGCATTGGCAGGACCTTAAGTCAATATTGTCGTGTGAGATGCAACAACAGTATTGGCTGATTAGACGCCACCACTAAGGTTTGATCAGCGGTTAACTTTCAAGGGTCAGCGTTCATTGAATTTCAAAAAGGGTCAGCAATTTGGCTTTGAAAAAGGGTCCACATTTTGGCTTCAAAAAGAGATCAGCATTCGTTTGATTTCAAAGAGGGTCAGCGTTTTGACTTGAAAAGGCATCAGTGTTTGATTTTGAAAAGGGGTCAGCATTCAACTTCGAAAAAGGTCAGCACGCACCCCATTTTAATGACTGAGGAAAAGGGGTCATCCACTTACCGAGGAACTCCTCAACGTCAGCTCTGACTACCCTCCCATCTGGCCCACTTCCTTTAATAGAGGAGAGATCCACCTGCGAAAGAAGAAGGAAACGCAACCATAAGAAAACAAAACCCTTTGCTGTTGAACACAAAAAAAAAAGGAGAAAGAAAGAGAATAGAACGTAGTCAGGTTCAATTCAAAACTTCAAAAGTGAATACATAAGAGAAAAGGAGGCTACGGAAATGAGAACCTCGCAAAGACAAAATAAACCAAGCCTGGTGACAGACAAACTTTCCTGATAAGGACAATCTTCCTGTTCTCTTTATCTGTGTTTACGTGAGCTCGCTGGTTCTCCTCATGAGTTCCACAACATAAACGAGTGTGTTGGCCATTCAAGGAAGGCAAGCGTTATTCAAGAGCGTATGCGAGTCGTGCACGATCATATCTTTTTTGTCGACAGATCAAGGGCTCAAATCCGGCTGAATACAATGGTTCTATGGGCTACCCTCGATGTGGCATTAGTGAACAAGAACAAGAACAAGGAGAGCAACAAGAAGAAGAGAACAACAAGAAGAACAAGAGGAGGAGGAGGAGGAAGAGGAAGAGGAGGAGGAGGGAGAGGAGGAGAAGGAGGAGGAGGAGGATTATCGCAGCAATAGAAGATTTGGTTTTAATCTCAGATTGACAGTCCATGCAAAGCACTTACTGCATTTTCCAATGCCAGCTTCTTGGCAGCAGGGCTGATGAAGATGCGGTCTCCGCTATCCACATGCGCTTTAGGAGCAACTTCTTGTGACGGTGGTGGGGGTGGGGGTGGAGCAATGGGCTCTGCCTTCTGGGCAGGTGCTTCTGATGGAGGGGGAGGTGGTGGTTGTTCTGGTTTAGCAGCAGCTGCCCCAGCCCCTGCGTCTCCAGGCACAAAATCTGCAAACTTCGCCAGATATTCTTCTTCCTCCACCATGATTGCAATTGGCTGATAAAAACAAATCGCGCACAGCACATTAGTTGTCAGAAGAAGAAATAAAAGCGAAAAAAAAAGCTCAAGCATCATCTCCAACAGGTGCAAAGCACAAAAAAGTCGTAATCGTATACATCTCTATTCTCTCATTCTTCCCTCTCTCCCTTCTCACAGAGGAGCAGACATTACAGCATATCCTAACCACCCAAAGGACTAAACTTCCAACACCCATGTGCCTTACCACACACCTGACATACATGACATCACTGCTCTTCTTTTTTCTTTTCTTTCAATGGTCTAAATCAGGAAGTCATGTGGGCTTGTAGCTTGCAGCTCTGATCATCTGAGATGGGCTTTTAGTTTGCAGCTATGCCCTCTACGATGGGCTTGTCGTTTGCAGATCCTACCATCGATCTATAAGACCTGCTAAGTCCAGTGCTAAGAGTCAGATGAAATTGATGCTAAGTCCAGTGCTAAGAAAGCATGAACACAGTCATTTTTACAACCAGGTTCATGCTCTCAAGGCAACAACATAGCATTAGTGTGACCTAGCTCTGAGATTTTTCATCGATCCGTGCAGCCCGAGCGCCGGGGAGGGCAGAGCAGGGCAATACCACACCCATAAAAAAGGCCATCTCAGATATTGCAGGCCTTAAACGTTACCCCCAAATCACCTGGCCAGAAGAAGGGGATGCAACAGATGGTTCACCTACTACATCCTACCTGTGGCACAGGTGAGAGACTATGAAAAATGAGGGGTGTGTGCCTCTCCGTGCTCCCAAAGGACATCCAGACCATTAATCTGGATCTGATGTATGCAGTACTAAGCACCCAGCAATGTGCTTATCCAGCAAACCCACCTCACTCCAGTCAGATTCCTTCAGCCCGGAAAGAAGGAAACAGAAAAGCAAAAAGATTACCGCGGTCTCAGCAGAAACACTGCAGAACAAATTGGCTTAAGTTCAGACTGCAAATAATTTTTCATAGGCTGCCACATAGCATGCCACATATGACGTATGCTCTCAGATCGGATGACACATAGCATGTCACACATGACGTACGCTCTTTACATACATAGCATGCTACGTAGCATGTCACACATGATATATGCTTGCCACATAGCCTGCCAACCATGACATACTCTCATGCATGTCACAATAAGTCACACCATGTCAAACAGGGCATCCCCTGCATGAGATGTCACACAGGATACCCTGTATGACATCCCACAGTATGTCATGCATCGCATCACATACGATATCATGTGTTATGTCAAATATGATGGATATCACATCAGGTATGCTGTCACATGTGATGATTGGACACCGCAACCTCCTCTGACAAGGGGAAAACGAGATTCGGAGTGATCAGTAATCTGATATAGCCCCCAACCTAAAACATATCAGAAGCGAGAGAGAATACGCAAAACGTTTGTCAGCAAACTGACGTTCAGAACACCAAACATAAATCCACCAAGCGGAAGATATTGAAAGCAAAGAGTAGCTCGGGTGACGTGGACCGTCACGTCATTGATACATAAGACCTTCAAGGCTACACTCCTAAGCCCATGGGCCTACATCTAAGACCATAGGTTCAGGGGTGTACTCTTAACCAGTGGTTAACGGGGTAAAGTGTTTTCATTGCTGAAACCATGTTCTTTTGGCCAATTTTTTGGTTTCGGGGAATTCTTTTTTGGTGACTGTTGGAATTGTGTCCGGTGACCATTTCTCAATGTTCTCAAGTGTTTTTGTCCATTGGACTAGTCTGTGGTAAATAGCTTTGAAAAAACTCTGAAATTTTGGGTCTCCGTTAACCAGCTCTCGTACTCCTGTAACTCTTATTTATGGCAACCCCTCTGGTGAAGTGGGCAGTGAAGTTACCATATATAAGGCCTACCTAGAAGGGTTAAAACCCTTCTAGGTATTCCGTTTGGTTCTGGGAGAGTTTGAAGTTGTTCTCATTTAGACAACGCCAAAGGTGTTTGTTACCTGCCTTTGGCAAGAGAAGACATAAAACTGTCCGCCTACATACACTGTGATGCCCTACCACAGGAGATCACTAAGCCCGTCCTGGTCCCCTCACTGTAATGTACC